GCTCAGGCAATCCACTCACCTCAGCCTCCCAAAGGTGCGGGATTACAGGCTGAGCCACCAAGCCGGGCTATGTGTTTGGTTTTTTTGAGTTGGAGTCCCACTCTTTTGCCCAGGCTGGTGTGCAGTGGCACATTCATGGCCACTGCAGCCTTGACTTGCTAGGCTCAGGTGATCCTTCCACCTCAAGCTTCCAAGTAGCTGGAACTACAGATGTGTGCCACTACACCTGGCTAATTTATTTATTTATTTATTGTAGAGATGAGGTCTCACCATGTTGCCCAGGCTGGTCTCGAACCTGTGTGCTCAGGCAATCCTCTCGTTTATGCCTCCCAAAATGCTGGGATTACAGCTGTGAGCCACCGCATCCAGTTTAGCCAGGTGTTATTACTAATCCCTTTTTTATTTTTTTACTTTAGTGACGAGGTCATGCCAAGTTGCCCAGGCTGGTCACGAACCCTTGGGCTCAGGCAATCCTCCAGTCTTGGCCTCTCATAGTACTGGGACTACAGGCGTGAGCCACCACACCTGGCCCTATTCTGTTTTGTCTTTTTGTTTTGTTTTTTTTTTTGAGTCGGAGTCTCACTCTGTCACCCAGACTGGAGTGCAGTGGCCGCTTCCGGCCACTGCAGCCTCGACCTGCTGGGCTCCGGCGATCCTTCCGTCTCACCCTTCTGAGTAGCCGGAATTACAGGCATGCACTACCACACCCGGCTGATTTTTTCATTTATTGTAGAGATGAGGTCTCGCTGCTCAGGTGGGTCACGAACCCTTGGGCTCAGGCAATCCTCCAGTCTTGGCCTCTCATAGTACTGGGACTACAGGCGTGAGCCACCACACCTGGCCCTATTCTGTTTTGTCTTTTTGTTTTGTTTTTTTTTTTGAGTCGGAGTCTCACTCTGTCACCCAGACTGGAGTGCAGTGGCCGCTTCCGGCCACTGCAGCCTCGACCTGCTGGGCTCCGGCGATCCTTCCGTCTCACCCTTCTGAGTAGCCGGAATTACAGGCATGCACTACCACACCCGGCTGATTTTTTCATTTATTGTAGAGATGAGGTCTCGCTGCTCAGGTGGGTCACGAACCCTTGGGCTCAGGCAATCCTCCAGTCTTGGCCTCTCATAGTACTGGGACTACAGGCGTGAGCCACCACACCTGGCCCTATTCTGTTTTGTCTTTTTGTTTTGTTTTTTTTTTTGAGTCGGAGTCTCACTCTGTCACCCAGACTGGAGTGCAGTGGCCGCTTCCGGCCACTGCAGCCTCGACCTGCTGGGCTCCGGCGATCCTTCCGTCTCACCCTTCTGAGTAGCCGGAATTACAGGCATGCACTACCACACCCGGCTGATTTTTTCATTTATTGTAGAGATGAGGTCTCGCTGCTCAGGTGGGTCACGAACCCTTGGGCTCAGGCAATCCTCCAGTCTTGGCCTCTCATAGTACTGGGACTACAGGCGTGAGCCACCACACCTGGCCCTATTCTGTTTTGTCTTTTTGTTTTGTTTTTTTTTTTGAGTCGGAGTCTCACTCTGTCACCCAGACTGGAGTGCAGTGGCCGCTTCCGGCCACTGCAGCCTCGACCTGCTGGGCTCCGGCGATCCTTCCGTCTCACCCTTCTGAGTAGCCGGAATTACAGGCATGCACTACCACACCCGGCTGATTTTTTCATTTATTGTAGAGATGAGGTCTCGCTGCTCAGGTGGGTCACGAACCCTTGGGCTCAGGCAATCCACTCACCTCAGCCTCCCAAGACGTGGGATTACAGGCTGAGCCACCAAGCCCGGCTTCTATTCTGGTTTTTAACTCTATAGATTAACTCTGCTTCTGAATTTCATCTAGAAGTAGTCAAACAATATGTACTCACATATATGACTTTTGCTGAACATTGTGAAACAAACCTGTTAGATCACACTCCCAGCAGGGCCTCTAGAATGTTAGTTAAGTCAGGCCTGCCAGGGGTGTGGGTGTCTGGTGTGTAATCGGTGCCATGACAAAGATGCAAAGAATTGCACAGAAGTTAGATTAGGAAATATAGTTTATTTAGAAAGTAAATTAGAGAGCGAGAAAGAAAAAGAGGCCAAAGCCAGGAAACATGGCCATAGCTCAAAGAGCACAAGGCCACACCAGAGTCTAGTAAGGCAGTGGCTCACTAATCCCACTTAAACAGAAGAAGAAACCGAGGTGAAGGAAAGAGTAGTGAGTTGCCCAGGGTCACGGGCCAGGATTGAACCCGGGTCCCGTGGGCTGCCCTGACCTGGTCCCCTCCGCCCGGCCCCAGCGGACCTGTACTCACCGGAGCCCGGAGAGGAGGAGCCTGCCTGGGTGCAGACCGAGCGGCAACAATTCCGAGACTTCCGAGATCTGAACAAGGACGGGCGTCTGGACGGGAGCGAGGTCGGCCGCTGGGTGCTGCCTCCTGCCCAGGACCAGCCCCTGGTGGAAGCCAATCACTTGCTGCATGAGAGCGACACTGACAAGGTACGATGATGGGGTGCGCAGGTGGGAGCTGGATGGATGTCGCAGGCCTGGGGGTACAGGGATGGGCCAGACCTGGGCCCCGAGCTGCAGTGGTCCCTGTTTGGGAAGATAAAAAAAGGGGTACAAGCCAGCGCAGTTGCTCACACCTGTCATCCCAGCACGTTGGGAGGCGGAGGTGAGAGGATTGCCTGAGCGCAGGGGTTTGAGACCAGCCTGGGCAACTTGGCGAGACCTCGTCTCCACAATAAATAAATAAAAATTAATCAGGCGTGGTGATTCACGCCTGTGGTTCCAGCTACTTGGTAGGCTGAAGCAGAAGGATCGCTGAGCCCAGCAGGTTGAGGCTGTGGTGGCCATGAGTGCCGCCACACTCCAGCCTGGGCAACAGAGTGAGACTCCAACTCAAAAAAAAATGGGACAGAGAGAGAGAAAAAGAGAGACAGGGCAGGATAGAGACCCGGGGGGGGGGATGGGGATGGAGACCCAGAGGGGGAGACAGACCCAAAGAGAGGGAGACAGAGACAGAGACCTAGAGAGATGAGGACATAGACCCAGAGAGAGAGGACAGAGTCCAGGCGTGGTGGCTCACATCTGTAATCTCAGCACTTTGGGAGGCTGAAGCAGGAGGATTGCTTGAACCCCGGAGTTCAAGACCAGCCTGGGCAACACAGCGAGACCTCATCTCTACAAAAAATAAAAAGTAGCCAGGCATGGTGGTGCATGCCTGTAGTCTTGGCTACTTGTGAGGCTGAGGCGGGAGGATCACTTGAACCCAGGAGGTCGAGGCTGCAGTGAACTGTGATCATACCATTGCACTCCAGTCTGGACAAAAGTGTGAGACACTTACTTAAAAGAACAAAACAGCTGGATGCAGTGGCACATGCCTATAATTCCAGCACTTTGGGAGGCTGAGGCGAGAGGGTTGCCTGAGCCCACGGGTTCGAGACCAGCCTGGGCAACTTGGCAAGACCTCATCTCTACAAGAAATCAAAAAATTAGCCAGGCATGGTGGCGTGTGCCTATAGTTCCAATTACTTGGAAGGCTGAGGCAGAAGGATCGCCTGAGCACAGCAGGTCGAGGCTGTGATGACCGTGAATGTGCCACTGCCTTCCAGCCTGGGCGACAGAGTGAGACTCCAACTCAAAAAAAAAAAAAACTAAAACAAAACAAAAAAATAAACAGGAGGTCAGAGACCAAGAAAGCAAAGGGGGATGGAGAGAGGAGAGAGACCCGGGGGGCAAGACAAAGACCCGGGGGGGGGGACAGAGACCTAGAGAGGGGGACAGAGACTCAGAGAGAGGAGAGGGGACCCAGAGAGAAGCATCCCAGAGACCTGGCAGACTCCCTTCCATGCAGTTCGGGCTCTTACCCAGGGCCGTGTCTTCCCCTGACCTCTGACCCTCCCTCCAGGACGGGCGTCTGAGCAAGGCTGAGATCCTGAGCAACTGGAACATGTTTGTGGGCAGCCAGGCCACCAACTACGGCGAGGACCTGACACGGCACCATGACGAGCTCTGAGCCCCACGTACCTGGGCCAGCCTCGTGGCCCGTGGGGCGACCCGAGGGGGTCCACAGCGGTCAGAAGGCAGATGCAGCCCCTGGTGCCCCCACCCCTGGGTTCCCAGGAACACCTGCCCCCGCCCCCGCGCCTTCCGCACCAGGCCCCGGGGCTCTCACAGGCCTGGAGGGCGAGTGACACCATTTCTCACCAGAGAGCCTCCCGGCCCAGACCCAGGGACCCTCGCCCCACTCTCAGCCTCCAAGAGCCTCCAATTTACCACCCCCAATCTGAGCCTCCACCACACAGACTGAAACACTTCTGCCCCGGGACACCTCCCCTCTGCCAGGGAGGCAATAAACTCAGTGCGGGGACCTGGTGTGTGTGTGTGTGTGTGTGTGTGTGTGTGTGTGTGTGTGTGTGTGTGTGTGTGTGTTAGGGCCTGGGAGGGGTTGGGGGCTGGGGGCTGTGACAGGAGCAGAGCATGCTGGGAGTTGGAAGGGCTAAGGCATGAAGGCGGGACCAGGCATTTGAGGGGGCACTGGGTGTGGGTGGGGTCTGAGGGCGTTCCCGGGCATGAAACATGAAACCGGCAGCCTGGACCCTGTGGTGCACAAGCCAGATGGGTAGCCCTGCCCTCTCCAACCTCGAGTTCTGTGAGGAGGCAGAGACACAGAGACATGAAAGATCAGGTCAGTGGCAGACACCATGAAGCAGGGGAATGGGGTAGTGGGTGGCCAGGAAAGGCCTCGGTGGTAAATGGAGTGAGAGGGGGAGCCATGACTGGGTGTGGTGGCTCATGCCTGTCATCCCAGCACTTTGGGAGGCCAAGGCAAGAGGATTGCCTGAGTCCAGGGGTTCGAGACTAGCCCAGGGAACATGGGGGAGACCTCGTCTCTACAATGCATCAAAAAATTAGCCAAGTGTGGTGGCACGTGCCTGTAGTTCTAGCTACTTGGAAGGCTGAAGCTGAAGGATCGCCTGAGTCTAGCAGGTTGAGGCTGCGGTGGCTGGGAGCGTGTCTCTGCCCTCCAGCCTGGTGATAGAGTGAGACTCCAAGTCAAAAAAAAAAAAAGAGGGAAACATGAGGCAATCGGAGGGGGAGCATCCCAGGGAGAGGGAGCCAGCAAGTCGGGGCTGCGGTGCACGTGCAAAGGCCCTGAGGCAGGCGTGGGCCTGGTGTGTCTGAGAAGTGCGGCTGGAACGAAATGAGGGGGTGGGGTGGGAGGTGAGAGCAGAGGTGGAGTGGGGCCAGACTGCAGGGCCTTGCAGGTGGGACACAATGACACCTGTTTGGTGGGACAGGAAGGAGAGAGATGAACAGAGACCCAGAAAAAGGAAGACAGAGACTCAGAGAGAGAGAGAGAGTCAGAGTCCCAGAGAGGGAGACAGAGGACAGAAACCCAGAGAGAAGAGGACAGAGAGAGAGGGAGACAGAGAGTCATTTACTCAACATCAGGACAAGGGCCACCCTGGGCAACACAGCAAGACCCCATCTCTACAAAGTTAAAAAAAAAATTATTTAGGTGGTCGGGTACAGTGGCTGATGCCTATAATCCCGGCACTTTAGGAGGCCGAGGTAAGAGGATTGCCTGAGCCCACGGGTTTGAGACCAGCCAGGGCAATTTGGCGAGACCTCATCTCTACAATAATTTTTTTTTTTTTGAGTTGGAGTCTCACTCATTGCCCAGACTGGAGTGCAGTGGCCGCTCCCGGCCACCGCAGCCTCGACCTGCTGGACT